TCTCTTCTCTCTGTTTTTGAAAACCTATTTTAAGAAAATAGTCAATTCAGTTTGGTTGGTCCATAATATGGATCCAATAGTAGTGTAGTTGAATAGGGCTTGAAAAGAGCTTTCCGACGATATATTATAAGCCCAATTCCGATGAATATTGAGGAAGTTATGGCCAATTTACTAAACTGGGCCCGGTTTGAGCCTCATATGCGGCCTAATGATCTAGAGGAGGGCCTAATATAGATTTATCATTCCTAATGCAATTAGGAATGGTTTTAATCTTCTAGATTCTTCTAGAAGGTTCTTTTCATTCCTAATTTAATTAGCATTGATAAATTGACTTTTGTTGACTTTTAGAGTTTTAATCAGAATAAAAGGATTTTTTGAAGAAATTACGATTTTATCCTCCCGTACGGTCAATTTCTATCTGATTCTAGAAAGCGCGTCAATATCTTAGTCAGCGCCAAATGCTAGCATTAGCGCCTGATGCTAAGCTTGGCGCCTGGCGCTAGTGTTAGCGCCTGGCGCTAATGTCAGCGTCTGGCACTAATCTGGTTTTACGCGTCAGAACTCTGTTTTGATTTTTTATCTTTTCGGCTGATTTTCTTTATAAATAGCTTCCTAAAAACTCTGTTTTCATTTACCAATTCTCACCAATTCTCATCAAGATTCTCTTGATTATTCTCTCTTTCTCTCTCTTATTCTAAACCAACCCTTTTACAAACAAAATTCCGCATTCACAAGATCTAGACACACCTAGCCAAGTTCGAAGTTGCCTTCACCCTAGACGTGAAAGGTTTTAATTTCTGAGGGTTTGGTCCCAAATCTCTCTTTCAATTATTTAATTTAATTGTTTTGTTTATTATTTTCCTTGAAGTTACTAACGTGTGTATTTTGTTATTAGAAAGAGATACAAGGCATCCAAGTGAGTGCTTTAATGGTTTTATTGATATTATGATTTTTAGACATCATGTCTAGGTTATTATTTTGATTCCTAGTATCATGTCTAGGTTTTTATTATGATTCCTAGTATTATGTTTAGGGAAAAGGTTATAATATCAAATATGCTTATTATAATTCCTACAATGCTTCCTATTTTCTTTCCTAATATCATGTTAGTATCATGTTAGGGCTAAATATATGATTTTTATATATTTAGTGACATGCTAGGGTTTGTTATTAATCTTGTTAGTATCATGCCTAGGATCTTGCTATTATTATGCTTTATTATTAACATGATGGTTATGATTATTATGATGATTATTGTTATTATGATTATTATTATGTTGCTTGATATATATTTTATTGTTATTGCTTGATCACGCCTTTTATGCATGTTTAAAGGGAATTTGTACTTGTAATCACGCTTAATAAGATAATTAATAATCTTATTTAGGGTTAATTTGATTATAATTCAAGTGATCTCCAATAATAGTTTATTTGTGCATTAATATTCAACCAACATAGATAAACAGGTTTAGGGCTAACCTATTGATTGCATGTTAGTCAGAAAGCGCACATGAATACGATCAGAATAAAGTAGAGGCCTATTATTAGGGCAGGTTCAATCTCTTTTAGGTTGGATTTGTACCTTCATCCCCGAACTACCAGTCATGGTTCAAGACCTATTGGAGTTTACGATCTCCTGAATCGTTAAGGGGTGTAACCTTCACCCCGTGAACGGTTTACAAGTTCCTAAAACTTGTTTACGACTCTTTAGCTCTAGCTTCCTTCCCTTTGGACGCCACCGTACTTTAGTGTATGATCACAGTGGGGTTCAAGCTAGGGATAATGCTTGAAATATTCCCTACAGGTACCCTCCACAAAAATGACATAAAATTTTTGAATTTTTTATTTTTCGCATTTTTAGTCAAGCACATCACAATACAATGCACACACGAGTCATGAGTCACACAAGTCAATTCACCTTGGGTTAATTTCAAGTTAGTCAGTCACATTGAGTCAACCTCAAGTCAGTCAATCACCTTAGGTCATCCCTAAGAAAAACATCAAGCCTTAGGTCAACCCTAAGAAAAACATCAAGCCATAGGTCAATCCTAAGAAAAACACCAGCAAAGTCTTTTGCAATCTTTTGATTTTTACAGGATACAACCATTCAGCAAAGCTCATGTTCGCAGCCAACCGAACGATCGCAACAAACATTCAAGTATCAAAGCTCTATTGTTCAAAGACGCGTGGACAATCCTTTCAAGCTCTTTTGTTCAAAGACGCGTGGACATATTATCAAGCTCTTTTGTTCAGAGATGCATGGACATATCATCAAGCTCTTTTGCTCAGAGACGCATGGGCATACTATTAAGAACTTTTGTTCAGAGGCGCGTGGACATATCATCAAGCTCTTTTGTTCAGGGATGTGTGGACATATAATCAAGCTCTTTTGTTCAGAGACGCGTGGACATATCCTCAAGCTCTTTTGTTCAGAGACGCATGGACATTTATTCCAAAACCTCCATTGTTCATAGACAAGTGAACAATCCTAAAAAAGAAGCTCTTTTGTTCAGAGACGAGTGACATCAACAGCGGCAAAGCACGACCACAACATCAAAACAGCAAGATGGCGTTCCCTAGCTTGTGGAAGGTTGTGACAACAACAAATGCAGCAACAAATCGATTACCCTCAAAGACGTATGCTCGAGGGTGCAAGATACGCATTTCTTAACTCTCTTATCTATTTTAACTAACGCTAGTTTGCAGGTATCAGCATTACAGGAATGATTTAGAATTGCAGAATGTTCTGAATCATTCTCCGTCCCTATCGTTACTTTGACTTTTATTTTCGAAACTTGCGTTTCTCCAAACTCAGTCAAACTGGGGGCTTCTATAGACACCCAAATGTGTCTCCCAAAACCCAAACCCAATGATGAATACCTTTCATGTCATTTGATTATCAGACAAAGCAAAAAGTGTGAAAAGTCTGGTGATGAGGATGTTTTTATTAAAATATCTCTTCTTTCTATTTTTGAAAATATTTCTTGTCTTACCCTATTTATGAAAACGTGCATTCAAGTTTAGTTTGGTCCATGATATGGGTCCAATAATAGTGTAATTGGATGGGGCTTGAAAAGAAATTTCCAACGATATATTATAAGCCCAATTCCAATGAATAATGAGGAAGTTATGGCCAAAATACTAAACTGAGCCAAACTGGATTTAACCTACGACCCAATGATCATGTGGAAGGTCCAAATGTTTAATCCTATTCCTAAACTAATTAAGATTAATTAGAAGCTTCTATGAGTTTCTAAAAGATCTTAATTATCCTTTTTGAAAAGATAAAATCAAAGAGTTTGAAATTGAATAAAACTTTCCTTTTTTTAAATCCTAATTCTATTCGAATTTAAAGATGTTCAAAGATACTCACATATTATTTTCGTGCCTCATAATATTTATCCAAATTTTATATGGATTGATAGATCTTGAAATTATCTTTTCAATGATATATCATAATATTAATTCTGAGTTATAACGAAAAAGATATGAAAGGAATACAAAACTCTATCCAAAACTGACATCCTTTCACTATTTTTGCCATATCTTTTTGTCTACAAAAGATTTTAATCTGATTATAACTGTGTTGGAAATTAGACTTCAAGAGCTTTCCAACGACATATTATATGACTTATTTAGACTTCTTGATTAAAAGATATGATAAAAAAAATCCGCAAAAAACTGTCTTAGCACCGCCTGACGACAAGTTTGTCGCCTGGCGTTGCACTGGCGACGAGATCTGTCGTTGGAAACATGATAAGTTTTATTCCGATTTGAATTCTAACTCTTTTCTATTGGTTTTTGGACTATTTTCTTATAAATAGGGTCCCTGGACCTCCGTTTTTTAATTAATAACCAGAATTCTCTAATTCTTCTCTCTCTCTCTAAACTAAAGCTTATTCTCTCTCTCCCTCTTTCTAGCCTAGCCCTTTTACAAACACAATTCCTCATACATTAGAACTAGACACACCTAGCCAAATTCGAAGTTGCCTTCGCCCTAGACGTGAAAGGTTTGATAATTTCTGAGGGTTTGGCCCCAAATCTCTATTTCAATTATTTAATTTAATTGTTTGTTTTAATAATTTCCTTGAAGTTACTAACGTATGTATTTTGTTATTAGAACGAGATACGAGGCATCGAAGTAAGTATTTTAATTATTTTATTGATCTTTTGATATAGAAATCATGTTTAGATTATTATTTTGATTCCTAGTATCATGTTAAGATGTTTTATTGCTTCTTAGTATCATGTTTAGGGTAATAATTAAGTTTCTAATATCAATTATGAATTCTATGATGCTTCCTATTTTCTTTCCTAATATCATGTTAGGGCTAAAGCTTTCGTCTTTATTTTTTAGTGACATGCTAGGGTTTTGTTATTAATCTTGTTAGTATCATACCTAGGATCTTGCTATTATTATGTTTTAACATGATTATTTTATTTATGATTGTTATTTTTATAATTATTGTCATGATGATGATTATCATGTTGCTTGATATATTTTTATTGTTGTTGCTTGATCACGCCTTTTATGCATGTTTAAAGGGAATTTGTACTTGTAATCACGCTTAATAAGATAATTAATAATCTTGTTTAGGTTAATATGCACTACTACAAAATTGGCCAAAGAGACCCGTCCAAATTAGCCAAAGAGACTGCCTTAGAGGCGGTCTCTAGCGCAGCGGTCTCTTTGGCAAAGAGACTGCTTGATTAGAGGCGGTCTCTAGAATGAGAAATCTAAAACCGCCTCTTAAAGATAAGCGGTCTCAATTTTAAGAAAATTGAGACCGCCTGTATAAGAAAAGCGGTCTCTGTTTTTAGAAATTTGGGACCACCTATCTTAATTAGGCAGTCTCTTTTTTGAGAAAATTGAGACTGCTTTAAACTTAACAGGTCTCTTTGGTATCATTGAAAAAAAAAAAAAAAAGTGATATAGTTTTTATAATTGCAATTTATCAATATAACTTATTTAATTTGAATTTTTTACATTATTAAAAACAGAATATAAAAATAATTCTTGTATTTCATCAGCTGAAAATTTACGTACACAATACAGATACAATAAAAAATTCAATACATTAAAATAAAAATAAAAATCCTATAATTGATAAGACATTAAACTTCAAAGTTCTTCAGTTACAAATTTCTTCAGTCCAAACTTGAGAAATCATTACCTACACCCACAAATAAAAAAATAAAAAGCAGATATTATTATCCAAAAAATAATTCAGAACAATTTTAACATAATTGAAAAAGAACAAAACAAAAATTTAAAGAACGAGATATAAAATAAAAAATCCGCATAACATAAAACATAAACTTCCAATCAAACAAAAAATTTCATTGAATCCAAATAAAACATCAAATTTATAAAACAAAAGTAAAGGATAATCACTATCAATCAACAATTAGATATAAATTTAGGTTCAGAAGCTAGATCAAACTGCCGAATTTTCCAAAGAAACCATTATTCTTCAATACAATTAACTTGATAATAAGACACTCCATTGAACTCCCCAAACCCATAAACCCTAGATAAGATCAATCACACTAATGTTACAACAATACAAACCCCCAAAAATTTTCTTACCCAGAAGTAAATCAATTAAAATTTAGAACCCAAACAATTTTGGTGGTGATAATTATCAATTATTTCCTAATTTTACTTACTTCCTTCTTGCTTTCGCTTTCAGATTGTGCCTTCTTTTTCGCTAATTTCTCTTGCAACGCTTTTGCATCCCTAATCAAATCAAATCAAACCCAAATTATATTGATTCTCAGAATTCTCAAAATAATTGATTTAATCAGAAAAATCTGAAAAAGGGTACCTTTCTCGACACTGCTCAGGTGTTAAACCATTGGTTTTAGACGTCTTCGTTTTGCTAGAATTGCGAGCTTGAGCTCTTTCACGTTCTTTCTTCCTTTGATTTCAGCGTTAGCTTGAATTAAGGCTCAAACAAAGAACACCCAGAAAATTTTACGAAAAAAATTTGAGATCAATACTAAATAACAAAAAAGAATACAAAACTCACCTTGGAAATAACTTCTTGAAATTTAAAGAGAAAGGAAGGAAATAATTAAAGAAGTATAAGATGAGAAAGAACTAATGGATGAAATTCTTAGAATACGGAGGATTAAAGGAGGGAGAAGAGAGAGAAAGAAGAAAGAGATACTATATGAAATGAGAAAAAAAAGAGCGAGGCGGCGGACAAGGGTTAGTTTGGGACTTAAGGTTATGGGTTTATGGCTGCCAGCCTGTCAAGAGGTTCAATTCGAGAGACCTGTTAACTAAGATGACTGGTCTCCCTAATTTCTCAACTAAAAATAAATACATTCATGAGACCGGTTATTTAAATGACGGGTTTATTACTTGAGACCTGTCATTTAAAATGACCAGTCTCTCTATATTCCTAGAAATTTTAAAATAATTCCTAGAGACCTATTTTCTTTAATGACGGGTCTCTTTGATATTTCGAGAGACCCGTCGTTTAAGATAATGGGTCTCTCCTTTGAAAGAGACCCGTTATGTACTTAACCGGTCTCTTATTTCGGGTCTCTTTGACCAATTTTGTAGTAGTGATGATTATAATTCAAGTGATCACTAATAATAGTTTTATTTGTGCATTAATATTCAACCAACATAGATAAACAGGTTTAGGGTAAACCTATTGATTGCATATTAGTCAGAAAGCGCACATGAATACGAGAAGAATAAAGTAGAGGTATATTATTAGGGCAGGTTCAATCTCTTTTAGATTGGATTTGTACCTTCATCCCCGAACTTCCAGTCTTGGTTCCAGACCTATTAGAGTTAACAATCTTCTGGATCGTTAAGGGGTGTAACCTTTACTCTGTAAATGGTTTACAAGTTCCTACAACTTGTTGGCGACTCTTTTGCTCTAGCTTCTTTCCCTTTGGACGCCACCATACTTAAATGTATGATCATAGTGGGGTTCAAGTTTGGGGTAGTGCTTGAAATATTCCCTACAGGGGCCTATAATTAAAAAAAAAACGCTGACTTATTAAAAAAAAATCTACTTTACCTATTCATCTTCTTTCCCGTAAAAACCTCCATTTCGAGACCAAAACCCCAAAAATCTTCCTATCCAAAATTCAATCTTTGACTTTTGCCTTTTAATTTCCAAAACAAAATTAAATTCACTCAATAATTATCACTCCTAAATGGCTAATATGCCTAATTATCTCCGATTCACTTAATTTTTTCTCTATTTTTTAGGCAAAATTGAAGAGCAATTTCTACTATTTAGAATCAATGACGGTTCATTTGATATTAATCGCCAGATCTTTATTTATTTATACCAATTTCAAGATCAAGCAATACCCACAAAATATTACTCCCTCCGTTTTTTTAAATGCATCACTTCCTTTTTATGGGTGTTTTTTTTATAAATACATCACTTCCTTATTTAGTAACTTTATACTATATTTTATCATTTTTCTCTCCTACTTTAAACCTCACTTAAATCACTTTATCATTTCTCTCTCCACCATAGTCCCCACTTATATAATAAAATACTACCTCCTGTTACAGGTTATGTGCAACAATTTTGTTATTTTTTAATTATGGCTCCTATCTAAAATTAGGAAATATGATTCTGGTTATGAAAAACATTTAAAAAAAAAAAGAAGAAGAAGAAGAAGAATTGACTCAATCTGGGCCCAATTTTTATATTTAGAACAGGGCCACCGAATTGCCGTAGACGGCCCTAACATTAGGGAAAGTTCTAAACAACCTAATTAAGCCACCATCATCTCTAATTGGACAATGTTTCTTTCTATAGGCATAATAAAAAGTTGGCTTCTGGATATCTACTGGATTGGAGGATTCATACTACGTAATCAATCTTCAAATTCAATACACAAATCCATTGTGTTACACATATCAACATCTACTTCAATGTCAACATTATGACCCTTGTACTGAAATCGTAAAACTTTTTTCATCACTCAGCTGCAAAATAAGAAAAAAAAACACTTAAAATCTTACAACATGCACCAATATTCAAACAACAACAAAAAAAAAAAAAAAAAAAAAAAAAACAAGTTACCTAAAACACGTAACACATCCAATACCTCAATCAGTCAAGCATTTTATTCAATCCAACAAAAACTCAACACATGTCAAATTATAGAAATCGCATAATTATACCATGTTATTAAACCAAAGTGCATAATTCACGCTCATAAATACACTAGACATTGAAAAATATGCAAACAGAAACTTAATCACTTTAATAAAATTCACATATTCAAGAAATTTACAAAATTTCGCAACAATATACAACAATAATTCAATAAATATGCTAAAAATAGATCATAATATAGATTTTTTGAGTTAAATATCAACAATGGTAGTGATAAATACCTTCAGATTAAAGTCGATTTCCCTAATTTGCACTCGCAATTCTAGATTTTTCTCTGGATGAAAACCCTAGCTTTCTTCTTCTTCAATTCAAACGCAAGACATAAATGAATGAAACTAAGTTATAAATGAATGCAGAAGAAGAAAGTCCAATTATCATTAATGGAAAGGGGCTTTTATTATGGCAGAAGGAGAAAAAAGGGTTTTTAAAGAAGGGCATTGTAGTCTTTTCCATTTTTTTTATTAACCTTAATTTATAACATTAGAACACTATTAACCTTTGTTTAACAGACTAATCACGGTAGTTAAGAAGCCCAAACCATGAGTGTACAGCTGATAATAAAAAACATAATAATGGTACATTGGTACCATTGATACAAGTCGAAACCTGAGGCATACCAATAAAAATTTCCCCAAAAGTAATTATAAAATGGGAAAAATCTAATATATATATATATATATATCATATAACTAATATATAAAGCTAAACTTTTAGCTAGGTCACGAGGCTGCGACACTTGGCGTTCTAACTTTTCTCCAAGTGTCGCGCCACGTTGGATAGATTTAAATAGACCTCATAAGATAAAAATAGTTAATTTAAAATTCTATTTGGATAGAATTTTAGGATAAAATTAGTTTTATTTTCGATAAAATACCAATATTTCAAATGTACAAATTCAATTATAATTTTATTAAAAAATTATTAGATTATAATTCTTAAAAATTAATAAATTATTTTTTGTATCATAATATTTTTTGGGCAAAGGAAATAATTCAAAGCGTAAAACATACATTTATAATATATACTTCGGTTAAAATTATATACTTCACAATCTAGCAAATCGTATAAAGATTAAAAATTTATTTTATAATTCAATAAATAACCAGGGCATCGTATGGGGCACAAAACTAGTATATATATAAAGGAGATTTTTTTCTCGAGGTTTTAGAGAGCCACGTAAAATTTAATTTTTTTAGCGCGCCATGTAGTAATATAAATTTTAGTTGTAGTCAATTAAATAAGAGATTAATGATTTCTTTTAGAATTAATTAATTCAAATGTCACGCAAGAAAAATTGGCAAATGTTATTTTTAAGTTTAATAATTAAATATAAAATATTATCTTTTGATATCAAGTATTTTATCTAAATATGTAACAAATTTTAGCAAATAAATACAAAAAAAAAATAATATAAAAAATTCAAACAAACTGTGCATCGGGCTTCATCTAGTATATATATAATTGGGAGTTTTTTTTTTCCGAGTTTTTAGAGAGCCACGTAAGATTTAATTTTCTTATTGTGCCATGTATGATTATAAATTTAAGTTGTAGACAATTAAATAAGAGATTATTAATTTCTTATACAATTAACTAATTCAAATGTCACGTAAGCAAAATTGACGAATGAGATTTTAAATTTTAAATTAATCAAATTCCAAATATTATCTTTTGAGACTATGAATTTTATTTATTATTTTAAAACTAATATAATAATAATTTTAATCACATAAATATGAAATTATTTTTTTTTATAAAATATTAACAAATCGTGCATCATACCGGTTTCATCTAGATGGACAAGTATAACATAGCGCGCTGTGCGATCCAATTGTGAACCCGGAACATCATTTTCTTTAGTTTTCTTAAACTACTGAGCTTTAAGAAATTAGAACACACAAAATAAACACCAATACAGAAGAACAGCAAGGTAATTCACCCCGTAAAAAAAAACAAGGTAATTCACAATAAAATTTGCTGCTCTTCTACGAGGTAACCTGATCTCTTTGCTTCTCTCTAATTAGGGTTTTGTCAATTTAATTAAATCTTTATGAATTTGGTTTTTTTAGGGTTCTTCTCCAAAATTTTATTATTATTTCACCATACGATCTTTCTGGGTTTATGCATTTTCATATGCTTCAATATGTTTATGTAGAACTTTATAGCATTTTAGTATGGGTGTTATCTTTCATGGGTTTTAGAATTCAATTGAAATTAGTGTATTGTTGTAGTTCAATATAGAAATTGGGAGAACAAGTGCAGACTTTGTGTTTCGAATCAAGGGTCAATTGAAAAAAACACATTTGATATTTCAAGGTTGAATCTTGATACATTGGACCCCTCTCAACCAACTGCTGCCCCGGGCAGGTGCTTTTTCGAGGCATTGGAGTAATGTTGATGTGTTGAAGTAGCCAAGTAGGAATGCTATAATAGGTAAAATTGGAGTAAATGGGGGAAGAAAGGAAAAGGGAGGCAAAAGTAGGATGAGTGTTAGATAAAATATTGAGATACATGAAGTTATGAACAGTTGAACTCTTAAGCGGCTTTTTGGATTATAATGGTAAAGCAAGCTTGTGTCTTTTGTTTAAACCATAAGAATATGGATACTAATAATCCCACCTTTGTCATTTATGCTCAAAACAATCCCACCTATGAATAATCTAGAAACAATCCCACCTTATACCCCCATTTGCTCAAAACAAGCTTTTTACCGGTTTGTGTAATTGATAACCTGTTTCAAGAGGTAACTTGACACATGTCACCTTTTGAGTGGTCTACTTTTAAATAATTTTAAAAACAATAAAACAATAATCAGAAAATTAATATTCCCTCCGCTTCGGATTACTCGCAACAAAGTACAAGTTTGCGGAGGCCGAGCCAAAAGATTGAAAGCATGATTATGGAAAAATAAGGGTATATGTTTAACTATTACTCCAACCAAAAAAAAGGAAAAACAAATTCAACCTTAATTAAATTAAATACCCCACCACCATCCACACCACCCACTAGCAACTGAAACCAACCACCACCACCACCCAACATCTCTGAAACCACCCACCACCACCACCCATCATCACCAAAACCACCCACCACCACCACCCATCATCACTGACGCATCTAGCACCATTGACGCACCCAACAACACCCACGAACCCTCCATAGCACCGACCACCCAACACAACCACCCCCCACCCAACACCGACGCATCCAACACCACCCACAAACCCTCTAATCAAAACCCCAAAACCACTATACCCCGTAGCAACCGAAATCAAAACCCCAATCCAACCTACGATGCCCACAAACCAACCCCTGAAACCCACAAACCGAAACCCACGACGTCGACGACGCACCCACGAACCTAGCAACCACGAACAAACCTTCGACGAACCCATAAACCCTTCTCTATCACCAATTAAAGCTTGAATTGGTTTAAATTTGACAAAAAAACCTTCGATTTGGGTAATGAGGAAACAAAAAGCAAAGGAAGAGAGAGAAAACAAGGCGGCGATGTAGGTGGTGGTTTCCATTAAAGATGGTGATGGTGGTGGTCGGTGGTAGTGGCGGTGGCGGTGGTGATGGTGGTGGTTGCCATTAAAGGTGTGGTTGCCATTGAAGGTGGTGGATTATGAAGGAAGAGAGAGAAAACTTATGGAGGAAGATGTTAAATGTAGATGGAGGAGGGGAATGAATTAGGATGGATGTGGTGGTAAGGTAAAATTAATTAACCTTAGGGATTAATGTAATAAGAATAAATTTATAATTTAACTAGTTTTGTGCCCGTGCGATGCCCGGGTTGTGTATTGAATTTTAAGATAAATTTTTATTCTATATGTCAAATTTTAAAACATATCATTGATACAAAATTAGTTAGGAATTGATGTGTTTTTGTGATGATTTAAACTATATAGTAGACATGTAATGACTAATAATAATAACATTGGTGAAAAACATTTCTTGACCTATAACCTGAAATAATGACCCTGTCCGAAATGACTCGTGACCCGACCCGATTGACAGGTATACACACAGTAATAAAATTATATTAAATTGTAAAGTATATTGTTTTAATTGATTAGAATATATTATAAATAATGGATGTGGTGCATTTTGAGCTAATTCCTTCGCTCCAAAAAAATACTATGATACAAAAAATAAATTTATATGATAATTTATGAGTGTTATAATTTTTTTTAATAAATTATAATTTAATTTGTACATATGAAATATTGGTACTTTATCGAAAATAAAACTCTAAATCAACAATTTTATCTTAAAGTTCTATCCAAATTTGATTGAAAATAGAATTCTAAATTAACTTATTTATCCTACAAATTGAATTCTATATAACTCTATCCTATGTGGCGCGTTACTTGGCGAAAATTTGGAACGCCAAGTGTCGCTATCTCGTCGCCCGGCTAAAAGTTTAGCTTTATATATTAGTTATATGATTAGGATGTTTTAAAAAAAAATTAAGGGTAAAATTGTCATTTCTTAACCAAAAACTTACCAAAAAAGGAAAGAAAATAATTTGTGCGAGTAATGTGAAACAACCATTTAAGGAAACTGTTGTAAGTAATCCAAGCGGAGGGAGTATTAAAAAAAAGCCTTTCCCTTCACCTCCCCTTTCACGATCCCCACCAGAATTTGCCCCACCCCCACCGTCACCTTCAGCCCCCCTTGATGTAATCTGCCACACCTCTATCCCACCCCCACCCCCACCGTCACCTTCAGCCCCCCTTGATGTAATCTGCCACACCTCTATCCCACCCCCACCCCCACCGTCACCTTCACCCCCTTGCCAGAATTTCCTCCTTTCCTCTTATCCCCTACATGAACTTGCACCCTTCCCCAGCCAGCCACGGCTGTCGATGCAACATTGCTCCCTACCCCGTGCTCGAAATCTGCTGTAGGCTCACCTTCAAGCTAGATATCTTCCATTTCCTCTTATTTCTTAACCAAATTTGCTTCCCTCACCTAGCTTGGTGTATAATTGCAGCCCCCTAAAATGATAATTGTGAATTTTTTTTTGGAAAATAGAAACTAATAATCCCACCTTTGTCACTTCTGCTCAAAACAATCCCACCTATGAATAATCTGGAAACAATCCCACCTTATTCCCTCATCTGCTCAAAACAAACCTTTTTACCTATAACCTATTTAACAGGTTAATTTTTAATTTTTTTTTTCATTTTTTTAATGTCAGTCTTCTTCCATCTCAAATCCTTCAAATCCTCTAATGGAACCCACCATAATCGCCACCACCGAACCTCAACCTACCCCAACTGGACCCCACGAAATCCCTTGAAACAGACCACCTTGAAACCTCCTAAATCCGAAACCCACTAACCCACCCTATCCCGGACCTCCAACCCTACATGTAAATCGACCCTTACTCTCTCTCACCTAACTGACCCACCACACTGTCCTCTCACCTCCACCATCCCGCCACCTCACCGAAAAACCTTAACCACCTCTCAATTCCACCAAGCCACCTCCATAAATCATTCAATTCGCGCAATATTCAATCAAAACCCCAAAAAAATTCCCGATTCCCACAATTATCATTTTAGGGGGCTGCAATCAAGCTAGGTGAGAGAAGCAAATTTAGTTGGGAAATAAGAGGAAATGGAAGATATCTAGCTTGAAGGTGAAGACGACAGTGGCAGTGAGCCTGTGAAGGTGGGATTAGAGCAGATTTCGGGCACGAGGTAGGGAGCAATGTTGCATCGACAACCGCGGCTGGGGAAGGGTGCAAGTTTATGTAGGGGATAAGAGGAAAGGGGGAAATTCCGGCAAGGGGGTGAAGGTGGCGGTGGGGGTGGGGATAGAGGTGTAGCAGATTACATCAAGGGGCTGAAGGTGACGGTGGGGCAGATTCTGGTGGGGATCGTGAAAGGGGAGGAGAAGGGAATGCTTTTTTTTTTTTTTTTTTTTTCAATATTAATTTTCTGATTATTGTTTTATTGTTTTTAAAATTATTTAAAAGTAGACCACTCAAAAGGTGACGTGTGACAAGTTACCTTTTGAAACAGGTTATCAATTACACAAACCGGTAAAAGGCTTGTTTTGAGCAAATGGGGGTATAAGGTGGGATTGTTTCTAGATTATTCACAGATGGGATTGTTTTGAGCATAAATGGCAACAGTAGGATTATTTCTTTCCACATTTCCAATTTTTTTTGGGTTTTGATTGAATATTGCGTGAATTGAAGGATTTATGGAGGTGGCTTGGTGGAATTGAGAGGTGGTTAAGGTTTTTCGGTGAGGTGGCGGGATGGTGGAGGTGAGAGGTCAGTGTGGTGGGTCGGTTAGGTGAGAGAGAGTAAGGGTCGATTTACATGTGGGGTTGGAGGTCCGGGATAAGGTGGGTTAGTGGGTTTCGAATTTAGGAGGTTTCAAGGTGGTCTGTTTCAGGGGATTTCGTGGGGTCCAGGTGGGGTAGGTTGAGAGTTTGGGGTAATATCTTGTGGTGGTTATGGAGGTTCAGTGGTGGCGATTATGGTGGGTTCCATTAAAGGAGTGGAAGGATTTGAGATGAAAGAAGACTGACATTAAAAAAATGAAAAATTAACCTGTTAAACAGGTTATAGGTAAAAAGGTTTGTTTTGAGTAGATGAGGGAATAAGGTGGGATTGTTTCTAGATTATTTATAGGTGGGATTGTTTTGAACAGAAGTGACAAAGGTGGGATTATTAGTTTCCATTTTTCCTAAGAATATTGAATGAGTTGTAAATAATTAGTTGTCAAGGTGTATATGTATGCGTGTAATTTAAGGCGGGGAAGACGGTAGGGTAGGGGGGGTGGAGAAGGAGGCATTGGAAGTTAATGCTATGAAGAATTTTAATTGTGTCACAAGTCCTAGGAAAAGATGGTGGGTTAGTACGCTTTTCTATTCTTATTCCTCATTTAGGCGATCCAATTATTCTTAATTTAAATATAACATTTTCATGCATAAAATCAAAGGGATTTTGAGGAATCATGGCAGGAGAGTGTGGCGGGATTGGTGTCCTTTAGTTGGCCTTTCTTTAATCATCACCTATGAAAAAAAAAGAAAAAATCATTGTTCTCAAACTTTCCTCATTCTACTTGAAATTTGGAAGGACTTGTTCTATAGTAGGTATTTTATTGATTTGCATTTATTTAAAGACCAATCAAGGCCTTTTCTCATATCTTGTGCTTTTAATAATGAAGATTTAAAGAATAATTTGTTATTGTATTGTCCTACTGCAACAATTCTGTTGCATAAACTACTTAGTTGTGTAAGAAATTAGTGGTTTGTCCCACTATTGGTTATTGGTAATGTACATGTGAAATTTGTGGGGAAAAAAGGTTTGCTTTTTGTGTGATTAGGGGTACTCTGGTTCAAAGGCTTCTTTGGTTTCTTCATGGGATCGAGCGGTATTTTTAGCTTCTATTTAGGCGCACGCCTTTTTCTCTATTGAAATTCGAGATTGGATTTTTTTTTTCTTTATCAGTCGTGGAGTATTAGACTTCTTGATTTGTTGTCCCCCTTTTGTAATTTCTCATTCTCTTTGTTGTGGACTTCTTTTTCAATTTTGCACTCACAATTTAAAACATGCACTCGTTAAAATTCTAATTCTAATATTCAACAAATTGCTCCTTTCAAGAATTATGATGAAATAGTTCAATCCATTTGTATTTCTATTGGCATACACCTCATGGTCAAATATGCTAGTATAGAATGCAATGAATTATCCACACAAACCATGCCTATATTTGACTTACCAAACACCTTTTAAGCTGTTAGTTAGTTAAATTTACCTTGTTAACAGACAAGCTATTTGCTAGCTTCTAGCCTGCTATAGGCTAAAGCTATTCAGTTTCCTTTTTCTCTATCTAACTACAGGTGCGTAACAAGGCTTAAATTGCTACCTAATAGTTTATGTGGCTACCAAAGCTCATTCTTGTAAGTTGATTCACCTCTGTAGGAATTTTTATATTTGCTGCATTCCATGCAGATTAGTGCTGACTTTGGGCCAATAATCTCAACATGTCTCTTTCTTTAACACCTGCAAAGAGACAACATAGTCGAAAACATGAGAACTCAAATGGGAAAAAGTTCCAAAAGTCGGCAAGTCTTAATTCACCAAAACAGCCCAGGAAGACCTTATCTGGAGGTGCCATTCTCCGTGTTCTTTGCCCATCTTCTAGAATTGAAAGTGTAATTGAAAAGAAGAGCAATATCTTATCACAAATACGCCAAGAAACTGGTGCTAAGGTCAGAATTGATGACCCTGTTCCTGGATGTGATGAGAGGGTAATCTTTATAATGGGTCTTGATAAGGAAGATGAGAGTAGCAACCAACATAAAAAGATCGACAATGAGGACTCTAAGTCATCCAAAGAGCAAGGCACTTCTGACGATCACAATGTAAATGATGTTGACAAGGAAACTCCTACAAATGTTGATGACCTGTTGTCCAAGAAGGGAACTTCATCTGTGCAGAATGCTTTGTTACTTGTGTTTGAAATTTTTTTTGAAGGGGAGGGGGAGACAGAAGACACTAATGAAGAAAGCAATGGATCTGGTACAGTCACTCTGAGGTTACTTGTGCTTTCCAGTCAGGTGGGATGCCTTTTAGGAATGGGTGGCTCTATCATTAAGCAAATGTCTGCTGAAAGTGGTGCTCAGATTCGAGTTCTTCCCAGGGACAAACTCCCTCAATGTGCCTCTTCTGCCGATGAAGTAGTTCAGGTGATTTGTGATTTTACTCTTTTGAATTATAAGATTGTTTAATTTTGGGCGTTGTCAGTGGATTTTGGTTACCAGACCATATTGTTCCAGCATCTGAGTTATTAGTTATCTCTTTTGTCCACATCCTTGCCATTTTTTAATAGTTAAATTACTCTTCATCCCTGGCAGGGCTGGCACTGTACTTGATTTTTATTTCATATGCAAATTGGTTACAGTGTTCCGTTGTAAGTATGATGTGCTTTAATAATAGGCATGCTTATAATGTTGCTATATGAAGATGCACTTTTTGTTAAAGCTCACCCTTGTTGATTTATTCAATTGTGAGAATTTTTGTATAAGATTTCCTTTCTAAGCTCTTCCATTTATTTTTATCTGAAAACAATAGTTCTGATAAAGCACATTTTTAAGAGTTTTATTTTAATACATATTGTGTCACCTTGAATCTATTAGTATCCTTCCATTTATCTTGCTTGAATCTCTTGCAACGGAAATATAAATGTGACAAATAAATGATATGTTACAGCTGTGATGTTAATGTTTGACTTGGGTGTTCTTGTGTAGTAGAACTATATTTGCCTCTTTTTCTCTCATTATAATTGCGCATTGAATCAAATTGCCTTTTTTTTTTATGCAAGCTGGGGATAATTAAATTGCCTTATGTGGTCACATTCTATTCGCAGATCACAGGACTGGCTGATGCTGTCAAGAAAGCACTCAGAACTGCTTCGGATCAGATTCTGGAAAATGCATCTCATGATAATGGTTCTTCTCCTTCTGATTCCTTTAAACCCACGTCTCAACCACACAGTAATCATGTTCCAAGGCCTGAATCCCATTCCCATCGGTCGCTTCCTTCTCATGGGGCATTGGGTGGTGGATTTCGTGATGGTGCTGATTTTCATTCAGGTGGCCCCCAATTGTTTCCCAAATTCCATGAAAACTTTATGCCTGGTAGAATGGATGCTCCTGAGATTGTAACCTTTCGATTACTTTGCCCTGGTGAGAGGGTAGGTGGTGTGATTGGAAAGGGTGGAGCTGTAATTAAGACTCTCCAGCATGAAATAGGGTGTGAGATTAAAGTTCTTGAAGGTGCTTCAGATGCAGAGGAACGCATGATACTTGTATCTGGCCCAGCGGTATTGCTTTTGCATATCATCTCCTAATTCGTGCTTATTATGACAACATCACTGTTATTTCTTTGAATCATATACTTCCTATATGAGGCGACTGATACCTGTTGCCTAACTTCTGCAGCATCCAGACGATAGGATATCTGCTGTTCAGGATGCAGTTCTTCGTGTGCTAAATCGTGTTGCCAAAGCTATACCTGATAGCAAGGAGAAGAGTGTAATGGCAAAGCTTCTTGTTCCATCCAATCAAATTGGCTGCCTTCTTGGTAAAGGTGGCTCAATCATTGGTGAGATGCGTAAGGTTACAGGGGCTTATATTCGTATTTTGGGGAAAGATCAGATCCCTAAGAGTGCATCTGAGAATGAAGAAGTTGTACAGGTATTAATTTTAATTCAATAGCTAGCCTTCTGACCCGTGCAATGCACGGGTTATTCATATAAAATTGTATTGATAGATAAGTGGGGAAATATCAGTAAGTCATTGTAGGGTATAATATGTAATCTGAAACATGATTAAAGAAATTAAAATTTTGGAACTTTAATAAAAAAAGAGGCTTAAATAGAAGGTGGAAGGGCTAAAATTAAAGAGAGAATAGGAAAAGGTTGAATTAAAGGGGAGAGATGAAGATGAAGAGATGAAGTGTGTATGAAAGATTAATAGGTTGAATTATAAGTTTAATGAAAGAATTAAAAAAAAATGGTGTAATAAAAAATTAATAGTGTAAGATGACATGTGGCACTATGGTTAGAGAAGTGTAATAGAATGGATGGACACATGTGTCTTTCGTAGTTTCTTGGTTATAGTTTTTAAATACTAAGTATAGATTTGTGTTTATATAAGCATAACTGTTTGCTTTAGATACCAAGCTAAGCTTGGTCTAGTGGGAAAGATTGTACCTTCCAACCTTGAGGTTGAGGTACAATCCCCACTAAGAGGCACTTTGAGGGTGGGGATACCTTACCCTTCTCCCCTCACTCTCAAAGTGTCTGACCCGCAAATACCGGACCAAAAAAACGGTGTGGGTTGAGGTTTAGTCAAGGTCCTTCTCCTTACAACCTTTAACCAAAAAAAAAAAAAAAATTGCTTTAGATATGCAAAATTGACACTTTTTTGGACTGTTCTGAAACTTTTCTGTTAAATTTTATCTTTTTCAGTGGCCTTAACTGTCTATACTCTATATTAATTTGTCATGTACATGTTCTGTAAAATGATAATAAGTTTATGTTACAAGGGTATGCACTCTTTGCAGTAGATTTTATATACTTAATTTTCTTAAAAAACCCTATATAGCATGCATAATTTTAGTGTTTATACATTCCCCTCTGTGGATTTTGTTTGGCCAGATTAATGGAGAATTGGAAGTAGTTCAAGAAGCACTTTTGCAGATAACCACAAGACTTCAACATCATTTCTTCCGTGATGCATTTCCTTCAATCAACCATCCTTCAAATCTTGCATTTTCAGATCGAGCACCCCCTTTTCCTTCATTTATGGGACGACGAGAAGTCTCTCCTCCAGGAATGTTTCCGAAACACGGCCCTTCATTTAGAAACGCTGATTATATTGGTTTGCCTCCTATGCATGGTGGATTTCATCCTCATGATGAACATCCACCATTTATGCATGATATTCATCGACATGGAGGTCCTAATATCTCTGAAAGATCGTGGCATCCACAGGTACTCTTCCCCCTTCCCTTCTCGTATTTGTTAAATTTATTATTTGATAGATACCCAGTATGTTAGAGTAAACTATGTGCTTGTTTGGCTGGCAACATAAAATGAAGGAAGTGAAAGTATGTGAGTATCGTTGCAGTTGTTTGATTGACACGAAAATAAAAATGAAGGGAAAATTTGTGGGAGTTTGTTCTTCCCGCATAACATGGGAATTAAATTACCCCCCCCCCCCAAGTCAACTTCCTATGGACTTAAATTTTCCACTATGAATTATATTTGTCATTGTGGCTTATTTTATTGCCACTCTGGAATTTGATTATTGACTGGTCTCTCCCATTGGCTTGTAGAATTTAATTGATGGTCCTATGGGCTTGTTGGAGCATGGTGGTCCCCCTCAAAGACGGATGTCTGGATTTGGAGGGTATGTTCTTATACAAGTTGTCAGTTGCTGTTTTTGCATCAAGTCTTGAAATAATTTGCTTATGTATTTGCATTGTCTATCTTTTGCTATGTATAGGGGAAGCCCACAGCCTGTAATCACAAATACGACTGTGGATGTAGTTGTTCCCAGTTCTCTTGTACCTATAATATATGGAGAGGATGGTGGATGCTTGAGACAAATTCGACAGGTATATTTTTGACATATCATCATGCTGCATATTCGTTGTTGTTGGCTGAGAGCAATGTAACTTGTTATCAGTCATCAGTTGTGTTAGAGATTTGAGTTGTACTTTGGTATCTTACCCAAATAGTTGTAGCTGTATGCATAATAATTAGTATTTTTTCTGTTTTTTTTTTTCCCCTTGCAACGTACCTTCTTGGCGCGCTACTTGGGGAAGTTATTTAAAAAAGGTAAACAAACAAATAAAGCTTAAGATTCAAACCATAAAAAATTAATTGGTTGTAATTTTTCCGTTTACCTATTCCAATTTGTTGCTTAAAATGTGTGCCAAAATGGTGTGTTCCAAGTAAATAAAACCGGAGGAAGTATAATACATAAGTTGATTTTAATGTGCTGATAAATTAGAAAAAGTGGTATACAAGAGAATGAACTAGGTAAAGTGGTACTCTCTCCATCCCATAGTATACTCTTGTTATCTTTTTGGGTGTCCCAAAATGTTGTTACTGTTTGTTTTCCTTTCCTTTTTAGACACTATGAAATATCTAGAATACCTGTATTATTTTTGTCTATATTCATTGCACTACCGAAAAAACCCTCACATTTCTTATTATTTGTGCCCTCACCTACTTTTATGTGAAAAATTTACAACAATAATCCAACCTTTAAGCTATCTTCTTAAAATGGTCCCAACTTTAAAAAATCTGGGAATAATCTCAATTTTTATAGGTATCTTCTTAAAACGGTCAATTTACCTACAACTTAAATAACAGTTATTTTTTAAAAATAACATCCAGCCTCCCATAGTCCCACCCCTGTCTCGAATATCTTATGCAAAGACAGAAGCGGCAAGCCTAATTAGCTGAACCGTGATTTAACTCCTTAGTGAAGCACTGAAGCCAAACCTCAAAGCTTGGTCATTGATCATTCTTTCAACCACCTCATTATCACTTCCTTCGCCAAATCGAAGAGATCCAATAAAGGTTTCTTGGTTTTGCATGATGTTACGCCATCAATTTTGATATTGGAGAACAAAACGAAGAGAGTGAAGAAAACAACTGGTTGAGAATTTAGGTTTCAATTGTCGAAACTTTAACAATTTATCATAATTTCAAATTAAATTTTAGTCCCTTGGAATTACTATAACAAGGGAAAAAAAAACATTGTTCAACTCAAAAACCCAAATAGGAAAATAAATAAAAAATTGGATTACAGATTCTTGCTGCTTGATTGTCAAGGAAAAACAAGTATGTTTTTAGTATAGTGCATAAGAAATTGTAGAGAAATTCCCTTGGAAAATTATTTTCACTTAGAAATTAATTATCCATGCTTCTTTCTCCACTTTGATCTTTTCTATTGGCATTTTGATTAAGATAAGGGTAGCAGCCTACCAGGGCTTTGAAAGGGAGGAGGAGAGAGAATAAGGTAGCAGGGCTTTGGAGGGAGGGGAGGAGAGAGAAAAGTCCGTGGAGAAGAGAGAGGGATTATATTCAGAATTTTTCAAAATTAAAATAAAAAAAAAATGATTAAACTAATCAAAAAAAAAAAAAAAATCATGTGTCATGCTCACTTGTTACTCCAGTTATCAACCGGTTAATGCCCATTTTAAGAAGACACTCGTAAAAGTAAGTTGGGACTATTTTGAGAAGACAGCCTAAAGGTGGGATTATTGTTCTAATATTTTTATGTATTTATTATATTATTTTAAGAATATTTTAAGAAGACACTCGTAAAAGTAAGTTGGGACTATTTTGAGAAGACAACCTAAAGGTGGGATTATTGTTCTAATAGGGTTCACATGTTTATATATTTTTTTATGTATTTATTATTTTTTCATGTACTAAATGTACTATATCCTTTATTTCTTAATTCACGTGAAATTTTACAAACGATAACTATATTATGGGACGGAGGGAGTGTGAACTCTATTTGTTTTATCTGCCCATGCTGTGTAAGCTGTTGTGACTAATTGCTTTACAGCAAGCATGTGGGGTGTTTTTGTGTGTGTTTGGCTGGAGCAAAATTCAAGGGTCTTTTCAGCAGTCTCTATTGTCTCAATTGTGATGTTACAAAGTCACTAATATAGCTTCATTATGGGCTAAGGCGGCTGGGATTAGGATGGTTCAAAGAAACCGGTTTAATGTCTTACTTTGATTCTGTTAAAAGAACAACTTGTCGTATTTTTTTCCAAGCACTTAATTTCAGCCTATTAATATACAATTTTTTCTTATCAAAAAAGTAAGCTGTTGGCATGCTGAGACTGAGAGCAACAGCTTTCTTTTTATAATTTGTTGTGCCCTTTGATTACATTAACGTTCCCATTTTTCAATATCTGCTGGTTGAGAGGAATTCTGCAGCTTATGTATACATCAGAGTTGCTTGATTATTCTATTTCTGCTGACATTTCCATCTTTCTGAGCATGTCATGATTTAGCATTTTCAGCTGTCATAATACCTATTCAGTAGAGTGTTATGGTTATTTTTCTCTCCTCACTATCGTTTTCTCTAGGTTATACAAAATTCATAAAGATTGAGATGACTAAAATTCTATCTTGACTTTCTGGGTTAGCAAAATAAGTCCCAAGTAATGAGGATTCTTTGTATGCTAATCACATGAACTTTGAAGTATGGGAAAAATTTGTCGTTTTTGGTTGCTGATGGCTTCAAGGGAGGTTCAGCGGACTTGTTTATCTAACTTTTATTTATAAATTTTACACAACAGAATTTTCTAAGGTGCTGCTGTTATGTAAAATTTGACATTGTTGAGTGTAGCATTAGGGATACAAGTTTTGGAGGGAAGGGAGATACAAAGGATAAGAACTCTGAAGCTCTGGCACAGAATGAGAGAAAAAGAATGAAAAGTGAAAGCATCACAACACTGGAGATGGTGGGAGTGAAAGCAGTGGAACAAGCAAGCATTGTTGGTAATTAGGTGATTAAAGGGGGGAAATATTGACAGTTGTGGTGGTGGTTAAAGGTGAAACGAAGGGGTATATATACCATGGGGACTTGGGCAAGGAAACTATATCTTCAGTGCTAGAGGATTCTTACTAGGGATTACTATCGTGTTCCTATTTCAATAGTTTATTGATGCTGCTAGGCTAATATTTCTTTTTGTTGCTTGCTTGTACTTCTTGAAAGCTGCTTTTGGTTAAGTGATAATTTTTCCTAGAAATGTGTGTATATGTTTTTATTGCTTCATCCTGACCCTTATTGCCACATTTTCCTGTGCAGATTTCTGATGCAAAGATTACAATCACAGATCCCAAACCAGGTGCTCCTGAAACTGTCATCATCATTTCTGGAACTCCTGAACAAACTCATGCTGCACAAAGTCTTATCCAAGCGTTTGTAATGCTTGAGAATGAATCTTCTTGACGAGTTGAAAGAGCTTTTAGTCCCCCCTCATGACCACATTTAGGGAGTAGTCATTTTTTGTTGTTGCAAAATGTAACTTTGAACCTTGTATGTTTTTTCCAACATATTCATGAAATGAATATACAAAGTAGAATTTAGTTAATGAACTCTTCTTTGACAATTATCCTTTCTGTCTTTGTTGGCGTTGAATCATTTTTAATTTTCTTTGGTGGTTTTTATCATGGGAATATCACACAATAATACATTGATTCAGCCTCGACAATGCAATTGTTCAACGTAAGTTATTTGAGTTGTGATCATTAAATATGAAAACGGATTAACATCATGATAATTCATTTTATATAGTTGCTCAATTTTGAATTTAAACAGCTAGTACAAACAGCCAATGGTAATAGCTAGTTAAATAACCAATTGTCAAACAAGATCAATGTTTAAAAAAAATAAATAATAATAAATAAATGTGCAAAGTTTTACCAGAAAAGTTGTATACGATATCTATGTTAATGTATCTTGTCTCCATTTTACTCTTTAAAATATGTAGTATAAGTTTACAAGTGTAGATGTATCATGGTCTTTGAGTTGAGAGTATGGTGTTGCAAGACCATCCAATACTATTCCATTGTCATGGATTAGGAGCCAAAGCATAAGCTCATTATGCAGCCATGACAATAACAGACCATCAGAGAATGAAACCTACTATCAACATCTAAATAATAAATCATTACCAAATGTGTCCGACTCTAAACATTCAGTTGTCCGCGAATCACTACTCCCAGCAGCTCAACCTGTAACTATTGTTTTTAACATCAAAAGTTTCATGGGGTGATATTATGCTGTAATTGTGAACAGGCCCTGAAATTATGCACATGATGTCTGTTGGGGGCTTAGTCATTCCATCACTAGTCTATAAGCCAATGATATGAAGTGGATCATTCCCTTGGATTTTAATCATAAACTGTTAAGTATGTGCTAAATTCTGCACCAATGCACCTAATCTCTTCAGATTTGATTATCGTACGCAGTTTTGGCTGTTCAATAAAATGCTGGTAGTTTGAAATTGAACAGCCAAACAAACAGACCTTAGTCTAAAGCATTAATCTGATGCAGAGAATTAGATTTTCATCAGAGTCCCGACAAAGGAAATTTCAAATTTCATTAATTACTTTTTGATCTTTCGGAGAATCTTTCAGTAAAAGCCTCTCAGAGAAAGCTGAAACAAGCTCGTACTCGTCATTTTCATAACAAGCAGTCGTAAATGCTGCTACACTGACACGATCAACATTTTGCTGCTTATCCAACAGCTTTTCAAAAAACAATGCTGCTATCTCTACTCTCCCATCACTACACAGCTTCCTTACCAATGTATTCACTGTCCGAATCCAGAGCTTTTTCTCCAGTCGTTCCAAGACACTAAAAGCATGGTTTATATCATTGTTTTTGCAATACTCATAACATAGAGCAAGCCGTGTAACTTCACAAGGTGACAGTCCCTTGTCAATCATGGTTCCATATAGCTTGTGAGCTTCTTCAAGTTTCCCGTCTTTGCATAGTCCACTTATTAAAGCACCATAAGTGAAACTGTCAGGAAAACAATGATGGTCATTCATTTGATGGAAAAACTTGATGGCTGAGTTGATATTACCCACCCCGCAATATCCACAAATCATGGAAGTGTAGGTTTCCTTAGTTGGAACAAGGCCAAGCTTGATAGCCTCTGCAAACCACCACTCACTATCCGCCATTGATTTCTGCCTACAGAACAAGGCAATCAGGATATTACATGTGTATATATCAGGTTTAAAGCCCGCTTTAGTCATCTTACAAAGCCATGCTGAGGCTTCTTTAGCATCATTGCGCTTAGCTGAAGCAGACATGAGAATTGTGTAAGTGACTCTATCAGCTTGCAGTCCTAATTCAGTACCCTCCTCAAGCAGTTCCCATGCTTCCTCAAACCTTCCCTTCTTGCAGAGGCCACTCATAATGGCATTATAGGTATAGATATTAGGAGCCAACTCTTCTTTCCTCATAATATCCATGTAACTATATGCTCTTTCAAAATTTCCTGCTTTACAGTATCCATCAATGAGGGTCGTATAGGTGTCGACATTGGGTACCAATCCTTGTTCTCTCATTCGGCCAAGTAACATCTCAGCTCGATTCAATTTACCCTCCTTGCAGTACCCATTGATCATGGCCGTATAAGTGCACTCATTCGGCTTATAGTTATCACTCCGAACAAGCTTAAGGAACAGCCTAAATGCCTTTTCTGTCCATCCCTTCTTACAAAGTCCATCAATCAATGTAGTATGTGTATAGACATTCGGTTTCCAACCTCTCCTAACCATTTCCTCCAACAACTCAAACGCTTGCTTGATATTACCCTTCTTACATAATCCATCAACCAAACACGTGTAATTAATAAGATTCGGCGTAAATCCCATCTCCATCATCCTATGAAAGAACCAGAATGCCCTGTTTACATTACCCATAGAGCAAAACATTCTGATCACCAAGGTACACGTCGCGTTATCAACAACAAACTTCCGTTCGATCATTCTACCCAACCACTTATCCACCTTAGTAATGTTCCTCATCCTACAATAACCCACAGTCATGTTGACGTAGCTAAAACAATCCGGGCGCACACCTCTCTTAGACATTTCATCGAACACAGACTCTGCATACTCAACGGAATAAATTTCACAAGCAATCTTTAGAATACAATTCAAAGTACGAGTACTCGGAATCAAACCCTGATTATGCATCTCAATAACCATACTAACAGCCTCATTAAATCTCCCAATCTCAGCAAAATTCCTCACCATATGAACCATTAATTCATGGGCTTTCTCAAAATTCTCATTACTAATCAAACAAGATGCAGCAACAATATAAAGACGCATAAAATAACGAAATCTAGAATACCCAATTGCCCAATCCAAGAATCCTAACGCAACCATTGAACTCGCCTCGTCGGCGAGCGAAGCAACAATGGTAATGACCTGATCATTTGACAAAGACTCAGCATCAATGTCAAGATTCAGCTTTGGAGGTGAAAATCTGAGGTGGGTTGGTTGGTGGTATGATTGAATGACTTGTAAACAGATTTTTTTGACAAGAGATTGAGGTGATCGTGATGGTGAAGATGATGGAGGATAGTTGAGATGAGTTTGGAGAGAGATTGGTCTGAAAGTGAAGAGGTGAGAAGAGAGAATTGAAGAAATGGAGGAAGAAGATCTCTTGAAAACTCCATTGATTCTGGGAGAAAGCATGAAGGATTTAGTTGTTGATTTTGGAGCATTAGCATCCAACTCAAAGGTTTTCCTCTAAAATTTTAAGCGTAGGAATCTGTACAGAATCTTGGCTGTTTTACGGTGTATTGGCAATTTGCTAACGACTATTTTTGTTACTTCCCTGAAGCTCGATTTGGAATTATTTTTATGGGCTTCCCCCACTTAATATGTCATATAAACAATTTTCGTTTATTTGATCGACATTTTCGAAAATATTGAAGCTTTTGTGATTATTTTATTAATTTCGTGCATTTCAGCTAACATGACACTTAATTGTGGGAATCACTTAACCGTTAGAGCATGGTTAACGGTGACAATTTCAATCCCGTTTTGTCTTCACTTTGGGAATCAGAAGCTCTACCTCCCCCGTTGTCTGGAGAACACGATCAACAAGTTTTCGTCCTTCTTCTCTACTTTTGTACTCCATTTTTGCCAGACTTTGAGCTAGCGAGATACCAAATTGATGTCGTGAGCGTACTTCGTGCAGAGATCTGAAAGTGGTACATCGTAAATTTTCATTTCTGGAAAACCCTAGTTTTTGCAAATCTTGTAATTGTTTTTCATTTGAGAAATTGCTGACTTCGTTTGTTGCAATGGTTAAAGATATGCTTGTAATGGTTTTTTTTTATTTTTTTTGATTATTTATTTTTTTTATTGAATCTTATTCTAATTAATCGAAAAAGGCAATTTCTTGAAGAGGTAAATTGGGTTTTTATTGCTTGAACTTGGTTGTAATTGGAATTTAGTGAAGGAAAAGGTAATTGGGAAGGGTGTGTATGGGGAGATACTGAAGATGGGCCGATAATGTAAAAAAGGACGGTATCTTAAGCGGGTTCGGGTTCTCAGCAACTCTTAGACATATCGGCATCTACACAAAAGACAGACATATCGGCTCGTCAGCAACCGGCACGTGTCATCAGCAACTTGACATCTGGCGCAAGTTAGTTTGCATGTCATGCAGCCACCTGTCACTTAATCAAGCTATAAATAATCAGGTTTTACCTCATAATTAAGGTAGCATTTATTACTCTCTCTTCTTATTATCTTCTTCAAACACTTTCTGACTTTGTCATCGGAGTGGTTATTGTTGGGGTTTGGTGAGTCTGACTCACCGCAGAAACAGCCCCGACCCAAGGAACCACTCGTAATTAATAAAACCATAAAGCATAAATAAATAAGCACAAGAAAAGGAAGAACAAATCATACCCTTGAAGCGAGCTTCGCCCTCTCAAAATGGGCTCTTACTTAAAAGCCTTGAGCACCGCAAATGTCGTGCCTCCAACGGTATCCACCCACAAAGGACGAACACGACTTTTTAGGTCCGCTACCTTGGAGTTAGCAAGGTTCGACCAAAACCCAAGTGTTAATGGAGTTTAAGAGCTTTTCCCAAAATATGGAGTGCTCTTTCTAACTCCCACTCAAGCACTTTACTCCAAATCCCAAGGTTGGTATTTATAGAGGAAAGTATGAGTGGGAATTTGTATCCCATCAATGTGGGATCATGAAATTCCACAAATTAATTTAAAGCTAAATTAAATTAAAATTGCAAACTAATAATAAATCTACAAGTGGCATTACCATGTGAAATGGGTTGGTGAGGACCACATGGAGAGTAGGGGGCCATACTTGCTCCCCACTCAATACTCTCCTTGTGCCACATGTCCTTACCCACTTGCTCCCATATTCCTCAAGCTTCCCCATAGTGATCGGCCCTATGGCCCAGCCACGAGCCCAGCCACAAGCCCATCCCGAGCCCAGCCCCGCACCAAGATGCAGGCTGCTGCTGTGCGCGCAAGCCACGCACTTGGTGCGGGCTTGCTGCTGTGCGTTGCTGCTAGTGCGTGCGCTACTAGCACGCCTAGCTTGTGGCAGCTAGCTGCTGCACGCACCACGTGCACGCAGCTGCTAGCTGCTGCTGTGCGTGGCTGCTTGCACGGTGCGCTAGCACGCACCTAGCCAGCCATGCTAGGCTCGGCTTGGTGCGCTTGCTAGCCACCTATGCTTGGACATTTTTGCCCCTAGCATTCGGATGCTCGGGGCATTCCGATGCTAGGGGTATTTTGGGAATAGCGTCTCGTCTTTTCATTATTTTTGACTCGACTTTCGAAGATCGGTTTCGACGCTCCAAGCTCGAATTACCGACGTCTAAATATTTAACACTCGGGCGACGAATTAATTTATTCCGAATTAATTCGTCGAGTCGGTTCGTATATTTTGCTTGGGTGTGACCCGAAGGGTTCAGTCAAGATTAAGTTGTAATATTAATTATATTAATATTACTGATCGGAAGCGGCCTCCACCCAGGCATTCCGATCACTTGACCTTACTGAATATATTAGCTTTCTAATAATTCTGAACCCGCTATCAGAATAATACACTTGTTCGAAGGACACCATTCCTTTCAGTTATCCCCGGATCCACCCCGGGGTTAGCTAATCTCTGTTCTTTGTGTAGGTTCTCGCATGGCCGATAGGAGCATAACGGGTTGCATACTCGAGCTTTGGATCTTGGAATCGGGTTGTCGGATCCTTGCAGGAACATGGTGTAAATTATCGACATGCTATGTAATTGTGTTGGATTGCATTATATTAGTTGTAGGTAACCAAGCCTATACTAGTTTATTTGAGTGTCTTGTGAATGATGGTGTTGTTGCAGGGGTAATTTGACATTATAGTCGCCGCCATCGCCCCCACCTCCTCACCACTTTATCTTCAGACAGCAATGTGACGCACAAGAAATTTCAGTTTCAATCCCTCATTAATAGAAGCTTACTTCAGACAAGCGAAATAATTCTAAAGTACAAAGGGGTGAGGAACGAGGTGATAATTATTAAGAACGGGATGCCTCATTTTGAAAACGGACGTTTACATTGCTAAGACTAACGCCGCTAGTCTGAAGTGAAGAGCCTAATTTCCTGTTGACGACTTTACCCTTGCTATACCTGGTGAAATGACACGCGTAGCTTCATATAAACACAACTCGTTTACTTGCCTCTTTTTGAATTTTTTTACAAAAAGTTCTAAGAAAATTTGTCAAATAGGATGAGTAAATTAAATTACATGATATCCAATATTGCTTCAATAATTTAAAAGAAACTATGCACAAAATTTGACTTTAAAAAAAATTTGACACGTATCACTAAAATTATTAGTTAAGAAGTTAAGCTTTTTACGTAGGGGTTGCTAAAAATGACTACACTTCACTTGGTTAAATTAGGTAAAAGATAATTAAACTTGTAAGATTTTAAAAATATGTATGGGATAGGGTTTGATCCCCGGTCCCTTCTAAAAATGTATCAAGATCCAACCAATATGACAAGCTATATTTGCTATTACATCCTTATCTTTAATAATATATATAATAATTTAAGGGGGGCCATAAGATTAAAACCAAGGGCTGCAAATTTGGGCCGGGGAGGCCAGGCCTCCACCAGCCCCCCCGGTCCCTTCGCCTTTGCTAGGAGAGAATAAAGTCTAATTAAGTGGAAACAGAGAATATTTACATATATACTATGTTATTTGGACTCGGGCACCAATGTCTGACAAGAGTACGTGTCCAAGTGTTTGACTCGGCTATTTTGTGAAAAAACTTCATGATTTTGAACTAAAAGTGAAGTTTCCGGGTGTCATACCCATGTCCGAGTGTCGAGGGTCCAATACGAATACGTGTGATGAGTGGCATTCATGCCACGATTAAGGTTCATTTTGATGGTCATTTTCCCACATTTGCGACTTGTTTGCATCCTTTTCTTTGCACTTAGTTCCCTTTCCCTTTATGCATCTTCTTTCCTAGATTTTGCCTCTTCTCCTACTCTTTACTTTGATTTCCATGCTCATGCTTTGTAGGAACCACCGGGGACTTCAAGAGGAGGAAGCTAAGCTCAAGGAAAGCTGAAGGAAGCAAGTTTCAGGAGAGGTTCAGCCGAACCCCATAAAGGTGTGGCCGAACCAGGGTGTGGCCGAACTTCTCAGTGGTCCGACCGAACTGTTTTACCAGTTTCAAGTGGCATTTTGGCGAATTTGCAGGAGTGGCCAAACCTCAGAATTTTGACCAGACCAGGATCAGGGAGGTTCGACCGAACCTACCCATGGTTCGGCAGAACCTACCCTGTAGTCCGGTCGAACCTTCCCAGTGTTCGATCGGACCACTCCTCTATTTCAGCTGGTTCTGTACGGACTATATAAGTCCCATTTTAGAACGTTTTGATGTAATTAGATTAACTTAGTTTTAATTTTTCTGCACTTTTAGCTTAATCTAGAGAGAGAAACACTATTAGTCTTCATTTGGTAGAGAGAGAAAGTGTGGATTTCTTCATTGATGAACTTGGATTTTGAAGAAGAAGCTTGTTTAATTTTTTGTAGATCTTCAACTTCAATTAATGAGCAATCTCTTACTCTTTCTCTTTACTTTTGCATTTAATTTTTCTTGTTTACTTTGATTTTCCTTCTTTGCTTATTAATCATGTTGATGCTTATTGATTTGGTGATTGATATTGTTTTCAACATGATTTGTGAGTAGTCACTTAGCCAAGGGTGTGGGGATGGTGTAGTTGCTAATTGTTCATGCTTATAATATTGGGATTAAGTTAATTGTGATTAAAATCTTTGCATGCTTGATATTCTTTGATCTTCTTGCAAGTGCACATTGTTTGTTGATTAAAGGTAAATCTTTGCTAACAAGGAACAGAAGTTGACTAAGTTAAGGTTCATTACTATCGATTGTTCTTTGATTGCACCTCCCAATATATGGTTCTAGTGTGGAAACATAGAGGCTATGTTAGGAGAAACCGATTAACCCCGGAAGGCGGTTAGATTGAACCTTATATCGATATTCTTGCATGTTTAGTTCGCTATTGATTTGCTTTTATGTAATTGCATGATCAAGCGACATCTACATCTACCCATCTCCCTTGGTGTTTAGTTATATTGATTTTAACTCGTTTTATCTTTAGTTTAATCTCTTAGTCATTCCTATCCTTTATCCCGAGATAGCTTAAAGTCTAGTGATGAATGCGGTGTTTATGTGCTTCTCCCTGTGGTTCGACCCCTCTTCTTTCTATATACTTGTATTAGGATAAGTCGAGTGTTATAAATTGTATTTGATTTAGGTGTAGTTGTCTAACGACGCAATTATTCCTCTATCAAATTGGCGCCGTTGCCGGGGAGACGGCTTCCATTGCTATTTCATTTCTTGTTTGAGACTATCTCACCTTTTATTTGTTAGTGTTCGCTACTTTTGTTACTTGTCAGTGCTTACGTTCTTCTTAGCTTTGTTGTATGAACAGAGGACAAACCCGCTCAAGATCTTTGATTCCCATCGATCCAGGGCTAGAGAGGTCTCACTAGTGGAAAAATTGTCATTCGTAACAAGCTATTTGTAACGGGCAAAGTTATGCCCGTTACAATAAACATTTTCATAACGGTCAAAATAATAGTCCGTTACAAATACATATTATTCGTAACGGGCACCATACTGCCCGTTACGAATAAATAAGTATTCGTAACGGACATTATCTTGTCCGTTACGAATAAGTATTCGTAACGGACAAGATAATGTCCGTTACGAATACTTATTTATTCGTAACGGACAAGATAGTGCCCGTTACAAATGTTTGAATATGGCCCAACTGATGAGAAAAGACCACTAATAGTTATAACTAGGATTCCTTACTTTCACTCTTCTCAAGCCGTCTTCCCTCTCTCTCTCTCCTCTTTCTTCAGCTCTCTCGTCTCTCCTCTATCATTTTACTCAATCTCTCTCTTCTCCTTACTCAATCTCCTCCATTTTTATCTCCTCTATGTGGATATAAGAACAACGGATCAAGCACAAGATAGTGCCCTAACTTCTACGACTGAAGATGCTGAAGTGGTGGTCTGGATCCTGGTAATTTAATCGTGAAGATTCGGTAGATTGAAGCTGGTTTGATTGAAGAAGAAGAAGGTCTTAATGACCCAGGCGTTATTGCAAAATGTGTTGAGATTCAAAATGCTATAAGGTGAACTAATTTCTTTTTTTT